AATAAATATAATATTAGTTTATATATTAATTTCTATATTTTTTCTAGAAAGAATACTACCTGAGTATAAGAACTGTAAAAAAATTATTAATTATTATATTACTCTTTTTTATTATTTATTGGCTCAGTGGGATCACACAGATTTAATTAAATTAATATAATATTATTTTTTAAATTTTTATTTTATTTTTATAATATTATTATCTTCACAGCCTGTAAACTAGAATATAATCTCTACTTTTTTATAATTAACTATTAATATATATATAGACTATTATATATTAGTATTATAAAAAAAAATATCTTTTAAAAGTATATAACTTGGACATAATAAATATTATTAAATAATAAATATATTTAATTTAATTTTTCCAGGTGGGTTAGGATTCTTAGAATCTATAAGTATATTAATATATTAATTAGTATAATATTTATTAGAATAATACTTATAAGTATAATACTTATTAGAGTAATACTTATTATTATAATATTTATTTTTATAATATTTAATAGACTTAATTAGGCTTAGTGCCCGTGGAAAAATATACTAATCTGATTTGAATTTTTATTATATATATTAATCTAATTAAATTTCTGTTATATATACTAACTGAATTCAGAAATGTATACTGCTATTTTTAAATATTTATAATTCTATAAAATAATTGAATAAAGAGGCAGAAGTTATATTACTATATTCCTTGTAGAAAGCTCTATTGAATAATATTATTTAAAAACTTATTAGACATTATTTGACCGTTGTCCCGTTGTGATGATTTCCCTACTAGATAAAACAGTTAACTATTCTAATTTTAGCTGTACCGCGGTCAGGTATAAGGATTCTCTTAATCTGACTGTTAACCTGACGGTCAGGTATAAGAATTGCTGATAACCTGACCTGACCTGGCCATTGCCCACTCTAATAATTATTTTTTAAATAATAAAAATATTTTAATATTAAAAAAATATAGTTTATATTTTTACTAGTTAAATAAATTATTCTGGTTCTTAATATTATTCTAGACTATTTATATAATATACTTTACTCTGATTAGAAAAAGATTAATTATTATTTTTTAAAATATATCTAGAGAATTTTTTTATCTTCTAGTATTACCAGCTTTAGTATAATTTTATAAAAAATAATTTAGTCTATTTATTAGTCTTAATTTTCCTTTCTGAAATATCTGAAGACCTGGATATTATTAAAACTTAATTAAAGAATTATTATTTTATTTATTATTTTTTAATATTATATAACTATAGCCTGGTTTTATGTAAGATTCTTATTATAAATTTAATTATTAATATTATTTCTTTTTTCTACTACAGATTTATTTTTATTTTTTCAGAAACTAATCTATACCTGTACAGAGATTATATTTATTATTATATTTATTTTAATTAGCCAAGTAATGTCTCCTGATAATATATATACTTAAATATTTTATAATTATTATTTCAGGACTAATTAATTTCTAATTATATATTTTCAGAATCTATAATATTTTATATAGTCTAATTCTTTTTTTAAATAAATTTAATTTATGAATTTATTTATATATAACAGGAAAATTACCGCATAATCTTAATATAATAATAAAAAATAATAAATAAATAAAGTATCTTAGAATGCCTATCATTTATATTAACTTTTATTTTTATATATTTATTATTAAATATAATTTATTTATAAATTATAATATTCTAGCAGGCAAGTTAAAGTATAAATAAGAATTTATTTAAATATATATAATTAATTACTAATACTTTTTATAAAAATATTTAAAAAATAGATTAATTATATTTTATTATCTCAGCTTATAACTTATCTTTTTTAATTAAATTAGTTTTAATATTTTATATACCTGGGCCTCGCCGGTTTCTAGTAAAATAATTATTTAATTTTATTTTAAATAATCTAAAAATTATATAAATCCTGTTTATATCTTATCTAGAAATATATTTTTATATATAAATTTAATACTGATATACAGGCCTTAATAATATATTTTATTAAATTTAATTATTACTCTTTTTCTGAGCAGGATATATTAAATATATTATTTTTTATTTATTAAAAAAAATATTTTATCTTAGTACCTGTTCAGTATAATAAGTTTAATTTATTTTATTATTATTATATTAAGTTTTATTCCCAGTGAATCTCTGATTATTTTATAAAACTATTATAAAAGTCTTTTATAATAATCTTTTATATTAATATTATATTAATTATTTTTTTATTTATAGTTATGTACAGACAATCACTGCTAGAAACTTTATTAAATATAAATTTTTATTAATATATTTTAATTATAGTATAAAGCATTATTTTTAGTTATAAATTTTCTTATTTCTTTTAATATAGTATTAGAAATCTAATAATTTAAATTAGATAATAATATTTTTTTACTACTATTCTTTAGAGAATTAATTATTATTAGAATTATAAGATAAGATTAAACAGATATTTATAGTAAATATATATAATAATTTTAAATAATTATTAACTAATAGTAATAGATTAGATTTAATATATTATTTATAAAATATTAATTTTATATAATTATTATAATTCAGTTCTTTATTATTCTTAATATAATTTTATATAATTTTTAAGATTCTTAATTATAAGAATATATTATTATATGAATAATATAATCAGTAGATCAGGGATATTTATAATTTATATATATTATTTAATCTTATAGTATCTTTTCTGACTGTGAATAATAAATATTATTAATATATAAAATATTAAATAAAGAATTATTTATTTTATTAGTAGAATTAAATAAGTATTATTAAATAGTATATAACTTTATAATAATAAGATATAATTAACGGTTTAAATAAGATTTATTAATTTAAAATAAAATTTATCTGAAAATAATAATAAATAATCTTTTTATAATATATAAATAACTGATTACTACTATATGTAACCGTTACTAAACTATATAATAATAATAAATAAATAAGTAATTACTGGTAATAATAGTGAATAATAATAATATACTATTATTAAATATTATTAAATATACTACTACCCTTACTACACGGCCCTTCGGGCCCCTATGTATACATAATGCTTAATCACGTGGAGAATCTTTTTATCTGGACTTTTACTACAAGAATAATATTCTGTTAACAAGTTAATTTCTATGATCTCTTTTTCTCTCTCTCTTTCTCTCTGCCAAAGGTTACGTGCTGCTGCTATTACTTTATAAATCTTAATAAAAATGAAAATATAGTAACAAAGAAAGCTCCTATATTATCTGATAATTATATAATTATATTACTATGAGCTCTGTTATTAGAGGTAGTCGCAGCCGCAGTAAAACTGGATTTGCGGCATGAAGAAATGCCTGTGAATAATATAATTATAATATATATTTTTTTCAACAAACTGGCAGGTATAATGTGGTGATTACTTGCTTATCCAGTCAAGAACATGGCATAGGAGCAGCAGCGACAGTAGCTACCCAGCTGGAATCCAGTTTCCATGCCATTCTGTTGGGTTTTATGGTGAGTATCGGTGGCGTGATACACAATGAGCCCATATGTATCTGTATCTACAGTGGGTTGATCGAGTACGACTATAAAAACCCATTATCAATGAAATTACTTATAAGTCTAAGTTAAGTGTATAGTTAACAGTAATAAATATATATACTTATTAACCTGACCGTTAACCTGACGGCAAATATCAATTTCTTGATTAACATGACTAGACCTGGTTGTTTGCCACCCTAGTTAACAGTCTATTAGACATAATAATGGTAGTAGTATGAAGCTGGTTCTTTCTAAATCTAGAATATGATATAATCAAAGTCCTATCAACAATAAATTTATTTTTGACATATCTCTATTTCTGATTCTATATAACTATTCAAAGTTAGACATGCTAGTAAAGCCGTTTAGCTATCTTGTATAGTCCTAATTATAATATATACTTCTAATCTTTCTCTTGCTATATAGAAAGTCAAGAAGATCCTTGCTACTAATAACAGTCATCTGAAAACACACACACACACACACAATTTATTAAGGCCCGGCAACTCAGCCGAAAGGGCAACTATCACTGACCTATCAACCCAGGTTCTAATGTACATCTGCGGTATCTGCTGGGATAGATTGTTGAAGACTTGAAGAAGCGCTTTCAAGCCGTTCTTGTTTCCCAACGTAAAGTCAGGACTAGCGATCGCTTCGAGCATGAGCTGCATCGTCTCAGTCATAGAAAGGCTGCGCATAAATTCGTATGATAGTACCTGCGCACCACCACTTTCGAATGGCAAAGTAAGTATACGAATCCTCCCGGCCCGACAGATAATCAACGCGTTGTGTATACACGGCATACTTGCCTGCATGCTCCTCGAGCTCTTTACACAGCAAACTGCGGAAGAAATGGCCCATCCGCCCGACACAGCTCAGAGACTGAACATCTCCCTTCATGCGTATGAGTGTTAGCTCGGGTGGAATCCTGGCAAGGTGGCAGAATAGTGGTTGTTCAACCATACTAGCCGACATTACTTTGATTCAGATTGTAGGCGGTATACTGTAGGCGTTTCAGATAACTCGGGTAAGACAGGTGACCTTTCAGCTCGTCTCAATGATTTTTTCCACGCACCTGGGGTCTGATATAATGCTTAGATCTCCCAACACGTACAGATTTACCTACTGGAGCTTTCTAGAAGCCTTGCGGCGTGGAATGAGCAATGCCTGCCTCATCAAAAGGAAGGGTATCCTCTAATGGTGAGTTTGACATACTGTGCTGACATCTAATTATGTTCATTGCTCCTGATGTAGACTGAAAGAACTGTTGATCCAGATCTCTTGATGTGGCTTTGTCGGAAATGCTTACCTAGCCAACCGTGAAGACTATGCAAACGCTGTCCTATGTCATAGAGCACACTAGTGATAATGGCATCGCCACCCAGCTCCCCAGGAAGGAAAAAAGGAAGTAGAAACAGAGCAAAGCACTCGCAACGAAGTTCATGTAAGTACTCTTCCTGAAACTCTCTATCTACCTTAATAACCGACAACATAGCTTCCATCCGGCAGAAACGTGAGCTTGACCTCAATTAATGCCTTCGCAGCCGCTCCAAATCCAATCCTGCACCCCACATACCCATCCACACATTCAACTCAGCCTAACCACCCCCTCCACCCCCTTCTCCATCTCCACAAAAGACAGCACATCCGGCGGCAACTGAAACCTCGTCACCTCGCCAGTGGGCGCATACCCGCACCTCTCATACCACCTTATCAGCGCCAACCGCGTATCTAACGCATTTAATCCCACCCGCTTCACCCCCCAGACGTCGCGGCAATGGCCTTCCGCGAGACTCAGAATCATTCGTCCAAGACCCCCCTGCTGATATCTTTGATTAACCGCCAAGTACGAGAGTCGAGCGAGGCCGGGCGCGTGTCTGCGCATGCTGACGCAGGCGATAATGGGCGCATCATTGGAGTCGACGTCGGCGGCGGTGGCGATGAGGATTGCACTATCTTCCTCCGTGATGCGGGTGAGGATGTCGTCTACCGTGACGTGGAAGCGCGCTCCCAGGGCGAGGTCACCCGTCCAGTTGGGGCGAGTGTCGGTGGCGCGGAAGGCGGATTCGACTAGGTCTCTAATTTGAGGGCCATCGGTTGGGGTTGCCAGGCGGGTGGGGAGGGGCAAGGTGGTCATTTTGAGTGTTGGGAATGGGAGGCAAATGACTGTGAACAGAGGGAAGGAGTTTTGAATGGTTGCGCGAGACTACAATTAGGGAATCTGGTAGAATAGAGCTTGAGAATTGGTATATGAAGCAGTAATAAATGGTGGACAGCAGTAGCCGAACCTAAGTGCTAGTGTTGTCTGACGCCCTTTAATTGACATAACTTTTGGGCTACTAACTAGTTAACGCCCTTCGATTGACATTCCATTGGCTGACAGAATGATAAGCTACGATAAGGACGTGTTAGCTGACAAATAGGCTAAATACTTACGCGACCACGCACAACTTATCACTTTACCACTTGAAGAATGCCTTGACTATATAGCAGGCTCTCGAACTGCTGGGTTTGACATCAAATCTGCCAGTTATTTCCACGTCTAGGGGGTACAATCTTTGGCAGCAATCAAGAGTAGATTGCGAGATACTAAAGGAGGAATATTGAAAAGGCTTGTGATATCGTCTTGACAGATAATCTTGATCTTAAGCAGGTCTATGAGAACAAGGACCCGGACTTGCATAGGTGTTGCTCGTCGGTTTATAAGTGATGTTAGTGACTGGATCAAATACTTTCGATTGTTCCCAAAGTGTTTGGCATGGCAGTGGTGGAAACTTGGGTAATAATTATGCTTACTATACTATGAATTGTGTTATTTTATCTGCATATATTATTTATTATAGTATAGCCTTCGACAAAATTTAGTTATTTTCTCCTAAGAAACAGATTTTCAAGCGGTAAGACGAGAATCAAAAGGCATATTGAATGATAGAAACGTGCAAACAAAAAACAAGAGGAGAATAAGCATTACCGTCCTATAACGTAAACCACGATCGCGCGGCCCATACGGTTGAGCAGCCTATCTAATAATGTCATACAGAAACCACTTTGCTAATTTGGGATAATTTAACTATTCGAAGAGTATGAGGCTTTAAAACATATATGTAGGCTATAGTACTAATGGGAAATTGAATTTTATATATATATTAGATATGTATAAAACAGCCGGTACTATCTCCAACAACTTTCGGTTCCCTAGTATAGACAGGAACAGGAAACATCTCACTACTCTTCCGGACTAGGATTGTACCAGCAATACAACTGTACCCCACTGGACAATTAGCCCCCGGGACCTGCGGTACGCGTAGAGCTCGAATCCAAAACAATTCTATAGAGCCACTTATGACAATGCCTTAATCGATGCTATGAGTTTGATGATCTGCTGTTCCGTGTCCGAGGGCGATTTCGAGAGACTAGACGATCTATCGTGTTGTTTTCGACGACCAAGGTCGCAGTACAAAGGGGAGCTATTAGGTTAACATGGCGCGTCATGTTGTTATTTGTTCCCATCCCTGGAGTCGTATAGGAAAGTGTGCAAATAGCAACCTCGCCGGTATGATGATCATCCTCTAATAATACAGACGGTGTTCTACGTCTCGAGGCCAGAGAAAAAAACGAAAAAAAAAAAAAAAAGAAAGAAAGAAAGCAGTTTTCGTCTGTTCGTTGTGAGTGTAGGTGACGGTAGCAGGTCTGAAATTGGAGGCTAGTTGATCTTCGACGACTGGAACCGTTTCACTCAAATTGTCTTTCTCTATTTTGATATCAAGATCGCACACTCATTGACTGATCTCCTCTTGCAGGACCAAATAGCGACTGTCTCGGTAGTCAGATGTCCTTCGTAGGCATTGTTACTAATTAGTAGTACGTAACTAGTATTGGCCCTGGAACATTGAAGGTGACAGAGTAAAATGGAAGCGGAAATTGCTGGGGGCTCAGGAATAAAGCTACCATGAAATTTGCAACATCTGAGTGTTGTTCAAGTTCCTCGTACAAATCCGCATATGAATTAGGTACCTAGGCATGGTCTAGAAGCAACTTAACACACGTGCAGTAATTTAAAACCTTGGAATAATAAAAAACTCCCTTTTCAACCTGTTATTGTCGACTGGTTGCTTGTACATGAATAATACAACAATGGCCGGTGGCTGGAATGAGTGATGGGGGTATTTGTCAGCGCCACCGGCAACTTTCTAACTAGCCGGTGGAATTTGCATTTGAGAATACGGCCACTTGGGCAGATTTTGAACCCCGAGGTTTGGCCGAATAACCGAGAAAGCCCAAAACTCTAGTATCCCAAACTCCGGCGTTATTTAAACTACTCCAGTTGACCTTGGTAGTTATGTTAGTATGTTGGAGCCCTACAAGAACTATAATTATTTTAAATTTTGTCGCTTATATAATTATTAAAGACTACTAATACTTTGCGTGGCATAGGCCTAGGAATGGTCTAGTCCTGGTCCTGAAGACCATGTGGTCTTTGGTCCTTGTTTATAAGATCCAAGACCATATTATAGTTCTCTGCAGCTCTAGGCAGTCTTTATTCTGACACACTGTTGGTGCTGAGATTATGTTTCTGATTGAAGCCTGTGGTTTCTCATAATCTTGAGGCACAATGTTATGATATATGTCATAGCAGCGCGAGTGATGGAACTGGTCTCTGTTAGTACGAGAGGTATATTGGTGCATTGAACTCGAGGTGATCTTTAAGCTGCTTCTTCAAAATATGTAGACTAGACCCTTATATCAGGATACCAGTGACACCTATATAATGGTTGTGTTTCTAGATAAGGTTTTGACGTAGAAGCATTAAGGCTAATGACTTCCCACATACGGAGGCTTCCCAAGCGCCTTGATGCTATGTACCATGGGGGGCAGGGGGATCCTAACCGACCCGAAGTGAAGCATTGTATATGTGGTACTATTAAGAAGCAGTACAGTTTATATAGAGCGATTACATGACAAGAATATGATACTACTATGTCTAGATTTCAGTACTATTGACAGCTCCTCTGTGACCGTGCGAGTTTATGTACATGGTATGTCAATCCCGTTGGCAACCAACTGCAGCTTCATCATAATATCATTAACCGGGTACAGGCTTCCCATATAGAGCTGCACCAATTGGCCTCAAGCAAGGATGGTACAATAGGTGCAAGACATAGTGTGGGTCTCAAAAAGCCACAATATTTGAGGTGCAACGAGAGAGTAATATACCTAGGAATTTTCCCGCAAATTGCACAGTGACCTGTTATTAGAAAAACTGAGTGTGGATACAGTACTATCCGTAGGTTACCCGGTGCGACAGAGTTTTGTTGAGAAACGTGAAAGGACATCGTATACTCCCAGATTTACCGTTGCAAAAAAATACTGATGTCGGGCAAAAGGCTATTCCAATCCCGAAATATTTGTTTTCGTTACAGGAAGATAAATCTTTAATGAGTTTCGTGATGATTGTGGCTTCAAAGCAAGGAATGAAAAGCTAAGTTTCCTGCAAAGGGGGCATGATTTTGGCATATATTATGTTGAGTCGCTTCAAAAAGTCACCCTACCCAGTGGCAATGAGCAAGCATCGGATACACGTAATGGCACTATATATAGACGGACCTCCTTCCTTTTTTCTAGATTCCATATCGTTATGTAAGTTCACACTAACACTGCCATATTGTCCTTCTCTAACTGATTGCACTCTGATTAGTTATTCCCCCTCTGATTGCATTGAACTGCGTCGAACTGTAGAAATTCTCGCCCTCTATATTATCCGCGGTCATTAGAAGTCTGTTAGTATAGAGTATCTGGAGGTTAAATATCCTTTAAATGCCCTATGTTAGAGCGTACGCAGCACCCCGCATATCCCAATTTCCCAATGCCTTGCTCGGAGTGACTACTGCGACCGAACAAGTTGTATATAGATAATATGTATTGGGCAAAATATTATCTATGGATAGGATAAACACCGACGAAACGCAAGAGATGGAAAACGAAAGTTGATTATCTGTGCAAGGTGGAAACGCAGCCGCTGACAGCTCGGCCCCACAACAACTTATACAGCCTCAATGTAACCACCAGAGGCCGGATCCGATCATCACACCAGCTGAGAACAAAGCTCCGCGTTGACATCTTCCGACTACTAAGGCACTTATCTCTTAAGAGGAGATCGTGACACTGGCGCTGCCAGCACCGCTCCATGCTTCCACTGCCATGACCTGATAATTGAAGTCGCTATTGCCGAACCCATGCTGCGCCCAAAAGTTGAAATGGTTGGCAACAGTCACCGTTCCAGATGTGCGCGTGCTCTCTCGAACGGAGAAGTACTGCGTGAACGTGCTTGTTCCCGTGATGGACGGTTCATTTGTTCGAGTGTCGGTGCAGACTTGGTAGGTGCTTCCATCAGAGTACACGGTACCAAGGCTTGTGGCCGAGCTGCAAGGGTTGTAATCACCGTAATCCTCGACGATGTAGTATTCAGCCTGAGGATAGTTGACCCAGCCGTACACAGCGAGGTAGGAAGAGGAGCCAGAAGCACTGTATTCGGCAGAGTAGGTGATAGCGCTGAAAAACGTTAGATCCCAGACTTTGGTTAAAGAATACAGTCACTCACTTAGAAGAACCAGTGGTCCAGCCCAGACCAACGACAAAGTCGGAGCTCACTCCATCTTCCCAGTACATGGAAAATGTTCCGGCACTCTCGTCGTAGGTGAAATCACCAAGGTTGCCGTTGTAGTTTTGCACATAGTCAATACCAGCACTTCGCGACACCAGAACAGGTTCCGGGACAGGAGCGGCGAATGCCGTGACCAAAAGACCTGCAAAAGCCGCAGTGACCTTCATGATGATTGAAGAAAGCTAAATGCTGGTGAAGGAATTTATGCAACTGGAAGAGAAGCACTGTGCTGGTCAATATTGCTGCGAGCCCGCTCTACCTCTATTTATATTCTGCGAAAAAGACTATTTAGCCCTTCCCCCTGCAAGATGAAGCAGCTCAGTCATATGCATTTTGCCGCATCACCTTGAACGCTTGAACAACCTCGAGCCTATTTCCAGAGACAGTCCTATAGTTGTGTCTCAGTCATGCGTTTGCTGTGTAGCCACCAATCTAGCCACTGGTCTTGGCTAAATGGACCGCACTTGGCTAAATGGACTACATTTGGCTAAATGGACAGCAGACGGATAAAAGGGCTGCAGTTGGGGGAGGCGGGGAAGTGGGGATTCTTCACCGGTTCCCTGCAGAAGGTTTTCTTACTCAGAGGTCATGTTCATGATTATGTACCCACTGATCTACTGAATGAACACAGTTCCTCGCTCATACAAGACGTATGTAGTGCAAGGTTATGTTTCTTTATTTCTTGTAGCAAGCCTTAGGCTCAGTTAACGCTGCGAGAAACACTGGCCAAAGATCGCGAAGGTACTTTGGAGCTCAAAGGCCACCGGGAGTTGGCCGAGGAGTTCTTTCTGTAGGTGATGAAGGCAGAGTATTGCAAATCTCGCTTATAGCTGGAAATACTCAGGTCAAAATGCAGGAGCCATCAAGTTACCGAGGTCCTGCCTAGCCAAGCATATACAAGATTGGGCCTAAACCCTTGGCAAACTTTACCCAACTCTTGGAGCCTACTACCCAGTAGGAATTGACTGGGGAGTGGGAACCCATCAGGGAGTAGGGGCTGACTCCCGCAACCTATAACAAAGTTATATATCCACCAGTGACATGGCCTTCTTGGTAAATAGTACAGGCCTGCAGACGTTACTGGCTTTTCCTGGAGACTTGTGATGAGGTATCAGTAACTAAGATGTGGAGCTGTTCTTCAAAAAAAAAGGGACTCCTTTCGTGGCTCAGTAGACCGTGAAAGTCTCATCAATAATGAGATTATCTGCTTCTGACAGTGTACCTGAGGTAAGTTTACAGCTTGCTACTGTAAGTTCACCGCCTGGGACTGGACACCGACCGGGATGAATTCATCGCCTGATGGATGACTTTTCCCCAAGACAGCAAGGCGGTCTTACAGCTCAGCGTGGTTTGAAATAAATTCGGTGTGGTCTAGCACTAAACACAGAACAATTATTTTCCTTTTTAATCATGTTAAGCTGTGCCAAGAATAAACTGAACTTCTAATGAAAAATACTAAGGATATTTTTGAAATAATAAGTATCTCTTTTTTAGTTTGTATAAGTTTTTGCTGTGAAAAAAACACGCCTCAACAGAATTTCTGGTGGTTAAATATCCTCTAAATTTCACTACATCGAGTTTACGGGTGTGATTTGGGTTTGGGTAGTTTTCTTCGCATCCACTGAGCCATATTTAGAGCTTGCTGGACCTGAGTCTGCATCAGAATCCGCAATCGGCTCTACCGCCTCGTGGCTTTGAGTTTCCCTCTTCCTATCCCACCAAAGCAGGAATTGAACTGTTCCAGTAACGATCACTGGAGAGTTGAGTTAGTTGCCATCTTCCGCTATTTTCAAATAATACTGCAATGCACCACACTCACTGAGTAAGATCTGCAATATGATGGACCAAAGATAGCCTTTCTTGGCTGCTGGAAAATCCGTGGTTTTCCACACAAAGTTTGGTGCCTGTGCAGAGTAAAGCGTGAGAAGCTTTCGTAGATATGATTGTCAGGTCGAAGGAAGCTTACCACTGCCTGAACAACATAGGCAAGATCATTAGCCATGGCGACAATCAAAGCTCTTTTCTCCGTATCAGCTGAGCAGATTTCGTTAATCCAGCTCAAGATGAGTGGACCAGCACCAACCTGAGGCTAAGTGTTAGCTGAAGATCACGTCTGACGTGTTAGGACTTTGACATACTCCGATATTACTGAGCCAATATACGGCCATGCGCCCAGGGATGTTGGTATAGAGAGGCATCTGGCGCAGTAGAACACACATAACGAGCTTGACAAATGTTACCACCGAATCATCCTGGGCATACGGGTCAAAAGTACATACCGTGATAACGGCACCGATATGGATAAAGGGCCAGCGTGATCCCCGACAGGGACCATCAGAGAGCAAACCCCAAATAAAGCACACGAAGATAGAGATACCAGTCGTGACCAATGGTACTTGATGACATTAGATTCGCTTGGCATATCGCTTTGAATAGACTCACAGTTGTTAATGTCAGCCACCGTGTATGACTTGCCCGGGACAGGAGGGGGGTCTGCATTGAAGCTTTTCAGCCAGTAACCCATACCAACCTGTGGGTATCCATTGTTCCACAGAATGTATATCATGGCTGGGTCGGTTGATTAGACAAAGGACCAAAATCGACCGTGACAGGGGATCACGTACGGAGTAGATATGTGTGCCAGCTGTACAAGATTCTTTTCAACTTAGCCATACTCCAAGGCTCCTTTCCAGCACGCCCAATCGCCTGCATTCGATTGACAGAGAGAATATGTTCCTCGTTAGTTATCCACCAAGTTTTCTTGCCACTTTGTGGAAGATTAGGGAAGAAGAGATAGCCGGCCAGGGCGAGCGGTAGCGTGATGATGCCATCGATGATGAACAGCCATCGCCAGCCAGCCCGGCCATCCACGCCGTTCAAGTTCGTGTAAGCAGCTGCTTGAAGAAAACCACTGAATAAATTCCCAATATGGCCGGCAAGCCAGAATATCATTGCGCGCTTTCCAATCTCTTGTGGTGTGTACCATGATCCGAGAAGATAATGAATGCCGGGGTAAAACCCAGATCTATTTCCGAGATTAGACTGCTGCGAGGAGAAAGATAATACGAGAAGTTTCTAACGTACTCAAAAAGGCCTACCAGGAATCGAAGCGCATAGAGAGCTTTGTATGACTTTACACTTGACATGCACATAGTTGCAATTCCCCAACCAATCTCGAGCTGCGCCACTATTAGTGTCCACTGAAGGTTGCGATCGAGTTTTACACGGGGATGGACTACTTACCGACGGAATCACCCAGCGAGGCGAAATGCGAGTCAACAGTAAGTTCGCGGGGATCTGACCAATAACATAGCCGACTGTGAAAATAGAGGTACTTGTCACCAGTTGGTTGCCAAACATCTCCAGATCCTCCTCCATGCCACTAAGATATGCATTTGTGACATTTTGAAGGTCCAGGTTTTTGAGAAAATAACCAATCTGTAGTTGTAGTTGTCAGCCAAATATATTTACACCCCTGGGGTAAGGTGAGATGTTGGCACACAGATGCAAATGTTAGCACAAACGCGTCAAGCTTAAACAATAGCCAACGCTGGTCGCTGGGTAGTTCCCATGTGTCCCAAATGTAGCCTTTCCATGACTTGAGAGGCCTGACTATATCATGCTCTTGCGAGGAATTGGCCTCAGTATCCCTTGTCATCGTGGATGCACTTTCTTCTATGTTGTAAGTACGAGGCATATTGGCATCTAAATATTCGCATTGAAATACAAGCACGCAAGTATGATCCCATCTGCCGCTATGATCACCTCACTTCTTAGCAGGTATATTCTGCGCTAACTGTTATCTCCCGCCAGTGATCGAGTTAGTATGACCCACAAGGTATAAACACCTGCCGGGTTGCTGGCTGAGTAATCAGTTTTCAATCGTTATCATGGACGAAAGAGGATGGGATGGTAGTGTTATGGCGCAATAGTCTCCAGCAATTACCTCTTCCGCAAGCCTGCAGCCAAGACCCGACAGAGTCCTGGATTCAGTCCAAGTTGCACGGGATTATAGACTTGCCGCGCATAAATGCCTCACATCGATTCACAATGCTTCTTCTCCTGGAGTTTCTGACGATACTTGCATTTGCCTATTATACAATATACGACGATTATGAGCTGCTGGTGGCATTCATATTTCCCTTTGACCTATACACTACAATATTTTACCCCTCTTCAAAAACATTTGCGATGATTGGAATATGATCACGAAGTCACAAATTGTCCCAACAGCAACAGACCCTTCTTAGAGACACTTATCCACGACCCTGATCCCTGTGCTCTCGTACAGCGCCCCTCCATAGCTCCAACATCGCAGGCGGACGAGGACTCCTGCTTTGTTGCATGAGAGCAGCATGTTGCTATAGCCACATGTAATCCGCGTCACTGGCAGTTCCATGCACATTAATTCTGAGGCTGCTTAAGCTGAGGTGTCAAGCGCAGATCTATGGTAGGGGCTTTTGCATGTGTGTTATTGGTCCACAGAACGCGGGCACAGGTATCCAGGTCAGAACAGGCACGGAAACGCAAACGACCAAAAGTAATCGTCTCGTCCACGTCCACTAGAGAGAAGGCTATGACGCACTGGACGGGCTCTTCCTCGCGCGCATTTAATCCGTAACCCAACAGTCCCGCAGCTAGTACCATGCGAGGCGGTAGATAAAAGCTCCTAACGCGAAGTTGAAGTGCGACAAATGCGTGACTAATTGTGAGTAGACAGAGGGAGAAAAGGACGGTTCTTCATGAGCTGGAATACAGTTAGTCCGCAATTAGAAGGCTTCCGATGTAGGGTGAATACATAATCAATCACCTTTGGTAGGACTGTCCGGTACTATCACTATCTCGATGCTGGTCATTTCTCGCAACTTGCTGCGGATCATCCTCATAACATTGTGAGGCGAGAATAAAGCTGCCTTGGGAGACACAGAGAGCCATTCCAGCCTTGCTCATGTGCATGGTCTTCTGCTTCCTCAAGAATCCGTCATTACAAAATTCATATTCAGAATATTAGGTAATTGAATGTTGTTGGCTGCATATAAAAAAGGGTAGTCAAGTACATCCATGTTGGGACCTGAAAATTATAATATCCGTTTGATGATGACTCTTTACAGCCAGGCCTCCAAACATCCACAGTAGTAACATCATTATCCGTGATATGGCAGTCACCGTTTACTGATAGCTTTGAGTATGACGCTCAACATCACCCTCAGCACCAAGTATCGGACAGTTGCTCATAGCCGGAGAGGACTGACTTGGACTCCAAATTCGTACCGTTAGAACATTCCTTAAATACTGCGTAAGCGCCACACTATTCTTTCCACAGTTATAATATCAATGGAATTATAAAAATCTGCAAGCCGCCCCAGATATTACCTGTTGAAAGGCTCATGTCATTGCACAGCATGAAGCAAAGCAGTCATTCCTGCGTCTCGAATACCTCTCGAGGGTCATCTATCCTTAGCCACGGCGCTATGTACGGGTCGCGGAATCCGGTTACTTGAATATTTTTTGATTCTCCATGGATAATCTTTATACCGCTGAGCTGCTGTGAAGGAAGCTCTCCTGAGTACAACATCTGGCAAGTGTTTCACACGTCACCAGGTCCCCTTACTTTATACTCTCTGCTGGATGGTTTCGTGAAATTCCTGCCGGGCTTCATCCTGGCCCGCAACCTTTATGGCCTGCTCATCGACATGCTTCTCTACCTTCCTATCCATGCACAACTGAAATGCCCTCTCCATATCCCAATAAAATGGACTTGAGGTCGAGAACAGGAAGTCGATGGACTCTAGAGACCGATTGCGGGTTTCTGGGTAGAACAGGAAAATAGTCGGGACCCACAAAAGGTTCAATCCAGCAAGAAGGAAGTAGCTGCGACTCCCGATACTTGCAAACATAATCGGATTTACCAGTGTGGTCATTCCAACGCCAATAGCCCAGCCGGTAATACCAAAGCCATTACCTTGAGCCCGGAGATCGGAGGGAAATATCTCGGTTGGTATCAAGAAAGCGACGGTTCCCCAGGTCGCGGCATATCCCAAGTTGAACAAAAACAGCATCGCAACAGCAGCAGGTGCAAATTGGCTGGCTTTATCTGGCTGATGGAGGGACGCCTCATAAACAGATCCGGCCTGGAGAGGAAACATCTTAGAATCAGAGTCAAACAAGTTATGCGAGGGTTTGGCACTTACCACCAGCTCAACGACGAATAAGACAAGAGACCCAAGCATTAAACATTTTCGCCTTCCGATCCGATCTACGATCTGCGTACTGATTATCGTACCTAGAATACCGATCGTATTCAATCCTCCGGCAAGGCCGTTTTGGGTGAGCTCGCTGTAACCCGCTTGCCCAAGCAGAACAGGAGAGTATGCCGTAACAGCCTGTTGACATGACAGTGTATCAGCCAGCCTATCTCTGCGATTTCATACGTTGAACAGCTTACCGTAATTCCAGTCCAAGATGCCATGATCTGGAGCCATATACACAGCCAGGCTCGTCGCCCCAGATTGGAGCCGGGGTTTCCTCCTTTTCCAATCAATATTTTTGCGAACTGAAGGGGCGAGCTTGGTTTGCCCTCTTGCACTGTCGCAATTATTTCTTTGTATTCAAGGTCAATTTCTGATTGGCTGCATTTATGACAACGAATCTTGTTTAGGACCTGCTGAGCTTCGTCATAACGACCGACAGATGCCAGGAACCGCGGACTATCCGGAAGCATCTTGATGAACAAGAGTAGTATGAGTGCTGGAACGCACTGAAACGCCAATAAAAAGCGCCAGCGAATATCCGAATAGCCGTTATTGATGAAAGCAAGACCAAATGACAGCCAGTATGCGACGGATATTCCTAGATCTTCAACAAAATCTGTTAGTATATATTCTGGGGCGGTGTCGTCGAACGTCCAACACCTACAATTCGCAATGAAAACATATCCTAGGAAGGCACCGCGGTGATCAGCTGTTGATGTCTCTGACACCAGTACTGGTGCTATGCCAGTTAATGCTAGCCAGATCAGCTTCTCTCAGGAGGTCTTAGTACGGAAGGTGGGCATACCACCAGTGCCAACTCCTGTCACCACCCTGGCGACGAGCATAAAATCTGAACTCTGAGCCGCAGCTTGCAAAGCACCTCCCACAAGTGCAAGCAACGAACCGGCCAGCAGGCCATTGATACGGCCTAAGCGATCAGCCAGCCAGCCACCTCCGAAACAACCGAAAATGCATCCAAGGTAGTAGATGCTGACGATGCCTCCCTGATGGGTAGTGTCGGTTACTGTGCCATCCGGTTCGCCAATTCCAACCTCTGTAACGTATCTAGGAGAGCTGTTGACACCTCCCATGACACCTTGATCATACCCCTCGAAGAATATGCAAACGAGAGAAAGAGCCTGAATCCCAACATTGAGTTGGCGTGGGGATAACCGCCTCCAAAAGGTTGCATACCCCATATTCTCGGCCTTGCTGAAACGCACTGAATGAAACTATGAGTTAATCAGCTGTAGTTTCAAATCCTTAGCGCGAACAGTTGCACAACCGGTAGTGGTTGGACTATTTATAACGCGGCCTATGTCATGACCGGATCTTGAGACGCTTATCCCTTGCTTCACCAACCTGACAAATGACATGCCGGATTCGCCCGAAATAACCTAGCGAGAACCGAAGCCTTGGGGCAACCAAAACTGTTGTGGAGAGAACCTTTTGAGGGGCCCCGCAAGAGTATCACACGTTCGAGTCAGGGTTTGTGAGTGGCACCGTTTAGCAGTTTAAACGTTTAAGCGTTTAAGTATTTAGCCATTTAAGAGTTCTGGCGATTAGGCGGTCAACAACTACAACCGTCGTCTCCCGTACCATGAGACATTCAGGCACCAATGCGGCCGGGGTATTGAAGTAGTACGGCAGCGACGCATGTTATTTATTCCCCGCAACATCCCCCCCCCCCCCCCCTCCTCGTTATCTCGATTGGACAGCCAGTTGCTCCGAGTTCTGTCTGCCTTTCAATATGGACCCTAGCGCTTCTGTATCCCGCTCCCTGGACCTAACCGTCCTGGGACTCAATAGTGGCACTTCGATGGTAAGCAGACGAGCTGGACAAGCGAGGATTTAGGGGGCCTTGAAAGCTTATCAATGTAACGCTAGGATGGGATCGACTGTGCTCTCTGTCATTTTCGACAGGAAACGCCGGATTCACCCATGAGGTTTGAGCTTCTCAAGGTATGCTATTGTCACATGTTACGCAAATCCCGTTCAGTCTAACACAGACGTGTCTTTCCAATAGTATGGTGAAATTCCCCTAGAACAAACAATCAAGAAACGAGTCATGAATATCATCCTGCACAACAAAACATCTCCGTCCGAGCTATCCGAGGTGAATGTCATTCTCGGTGAGACATTTGCCGCGGCTGTCAAGGAGTTCTGTGGACAGTATGATGTTAATATCTCGTCCATCGACGTTATTGGCTCCCACGGTCAAACCATCTGGCTTCTGTCTATGCCTGAGGAGGGAGAGGTACGCGGTGCTCTCACCATGGCTGAGGGCTCATTTATTGCTTCTCGCACGGGAATCACAACTGTGACCGACTTCCGGGTTAGCGACCAAGCAGCGGGTCGCCAGGGGGCACCACTGATTGCTTTCTTTGATGCCTTGCTCCTGCACCATCCGACAAAGTTGCGCGCTTGCCAAAACATTGGCGGAATTGCTAATGTCTGTTTTATCCCGCCCGATTCCCTTGGAGGCACTGATGCCTGCTACGATTTCGATACAGGCCCAGGGAACGTCTTTATTGATGCCGTTGTCCGACACTACACCAACGGCCAGCAGGAGTATGACAAGGACGGCGAGATGGGCGCTCGCGGCACGGTGGACCAGGATCTGGTAGATGAGTTTCTTCAAACTCATCCCTACTTCCAGTTGGATCCACCGAAAACCACGGGCCGCGAGGTGTTCCGAGATACTTTAGCTTTTGATCTCATTCGCAAGGCGGAATCCAAAGGTCTTAGTCCGGATGATGTCGTTGCTACCGTCACTCGAATCACCGCTCAGGCCATCGTCGACCATTACCGCCGCTATGCCCCCAAGGACCTCCCAATCGACGAAATTTTCATGTGCGGCGGTGGTGCTTATAATCCAAACATTACACAATACATACAAGCACATTACCCTAGCACGAGGATTCTGATGCTGGACCAAGCAGGTATCCCGGCTTCTGCCAAGGAAGCTATCACCTTCGCATGGCAGGGCATGGAAGCAGTGGTGGGCCGTTCTATTCCCGTGCCCACTCGGGTTGAGACTCGGCAGCCATACGTCTTGGGAAAGGTATCACCAGGCAAGAACTATCGTAGGGTGTTGCAGCAAGGTATGCAGTTCGGAGGGGATAGGCACCACCTGCCTGCAGTATCTGAGCTGGTGAACTATGTGAACGGGGAGGTGTTTAACAACAAATGGTAATACATGTAAAGATATATCAAAAGAAGATCATTAGAATAAAATTTATACGCACACCCTTTGTGAACATACATAGTGACATTCGTATGAATGAATTTAAAGAGTAGTTAGTAGGTCAAGAAAGGGGGATGTGAATCCTCTTCTGGCTGGCTCAAACTCTAACGTAATTGTGTGGAGCTCCCGGAACCAAGATGACATAATCACATTGCGGCCTTCGGCAACTTTCGGCTGGATTCAGCAAGTCTGAAGGTGGACAGTGTAGATATATATCCCTACTACTACCGCATCGGACCAGGAGACAACCTCCTCCCCCCGGTCTCTGACGTGTGAAAGTAGTCCAAATGCCCCAGCGTCCCCGAAAAGTCCAGCGTATTTCAAGGGCCTGTATGTTACACCCTCGTTGTCCCCTTAGGCCCCGGCTCTAATAGCACCCAGGTGACCTTTGCCATCGACGTAGCATCAAATGCACGAAGACCCGAGGCCCACTCGAACCCTGTCAAAACTGTGTGGATTTTGATATCCCCTGTACATACGAGCGGCCGTTACGGAAAAGGGGTGGTCGTAGAGGAGCCCGCCAAGGAGAACAGGAGCCTGCATGCCAACCGGGTGGCGAGGTTGCCGCTACTACTACCTCCCCTCGACCTGCCCATTCGGAAGATGATCTTCAAGTTGGCGTGACTGCTCAATTATCGACACCTCTCGATAATAATTCTTGGGCAATCACGGATCCGCACTATAGCTCCGACTCACCGTTGACTCCCTGGAAGGCGCTTGCAATCGCCTGTCATTCTGTGGTGCAGGAACTCGCCCAGGTGTATTTTGAGATTGTTTATCCGATGTACTTCTCTCATTCCATGTCTCGCGAGGGTAGATTGTAAGATACTTGTTCTTGGACTAACCGCCTTATACCACGCAGATTTCCTCTATTCCATCCACCATCGTTTTTGAGAGTTCTCCGGGATGAAATGCATCTTAAGGACCAAGGGTTGTTCGCCTCGACAATGGCAATGTGTGCCTTAGCCTCCGCACGCGCCAGGGATGGCGGTTTATATTCGAATCAGCGATCACGATCACGGCTGTCACATTTACCACCAGAGGTCTTCTGGGCTGCAGCTAAGGAGTCTATCCCTCGGGACCTGGCTGCAGCAAGAGGCATCGAATACATGAGAGCATGTGCGATTCTCAGCATTGCCGCCATCCAGAATGGTCAGATCCGCGATATGCATCAATATTTAGGGATGTATCATACATTAAGTATCATGGAAGGGTTACATGATGAGAAGTTGTGGCCGAGAGACTTGAGCGTTGTGGACGTGGAAGTTCGACGGAGGCTGGTACGCCCCCCGTGCCTATGCGGTACCCTTTATCAGTGACAAACTAATGCAGGATGTAGTTTTGGTCGATGTATACGCTAGATGTGTTTTCGGCGACCGTATTGGGAGGCATAATTCGTTTCAGAGAAGTTCAGTCAAATGTACGCTACCCTAGAGAAGTGAATGACGATGTGCTTGATTCCGCGATAGAAGCACCGATATCGGCGGACTGTACCACACATGAACCATCGGTTTGGATGCGTGGGTGGAATTTTACCACTGATCTCTATCGAATACTGGAGCATGCTATTGACGGTCAGCGGCAAATGCAGCGCACCGCGAATGAGAGCCCCTGGTCGCTGTTTCGCCCGACCCCTGTCCCGGGCCCCTTGATTATGGAGCATGTACATTCCCTGTTCTCGGCGTTACCGTCGCAGCTTCAATCAACCAAGCCTGCTACCGGTGACCCTGAGCATGATATTGTTGGATTCCAATCTGCTAACATCCAAGCAACGCTCCAGCTTCTTAGCATGGTCCTATCTTCGAGTGAGGATCAAGGTGTGGAGGAGAAATGCGAGGTTGCGGGGAACGTGCTCAGCGTCTTTAGCACAGTGCCAATTGAATATCTCAAAGCAATCAGTTCCCCACTGGTACGTTAGTCCCATGACATATTATCATAATTTTCCCCTCCCGTCACTGTAGATAGACGTGCACTAATTATTGAAGCTCTATCATTTGGGGGGGATTGGATTCATTCTTGGATCTGTCATGGAAGGAAGCCTCTCCGAGATGTCTTACCAAAGAGTTCGCAAACTTCTGTAAGCGCCTAATCGAATCGTGTGACAGGTTAATGTACAACTGTGCTGATCGACAAGAAGATTAGACATGGCAGCGCTTTTGTCTCAAATGGAGTCCGGACTCACCCGCTCCACTGGCGCCAGTGAACGGCTCAAATCACAGGTCAAGCGGATAGATGAATACATGGATACGACTCGGCATGCCAATATGCGCTCTGAGCAGCCAGGAATTGATCAATCACAACACTTCGAAGGCTACATGAGACCTACCTCAGGCCAACCAGCAGACTTTAATGACCCACTAGCTTATTTCGAACTGCCTTCAGACTTGCTGGATGATTGGCCCTGGTCGTCCGGTGCTGGCTTATTAGAAGGGATGTTTCCGATGGCGTTAAGGAAGACAGAAGACTAGATGGTTGTTTGTTGACTCACTCTCCTCATTCGTTCCTAGCACGATAATATGGCGAATGGCAAGATGACAAGCTCAATTTTCCTGGACTTCCAGTGTGAGTGCCCTGTCAAACATGGTGTCTAGATTGGAATGTAACTATCCGAGGGGTATGAGACTAAAAACAAGTTACATATGCTAATGCATCCCTGGCGGTCGACCGGGTCGGCTCTAAATGAGTGCTTGTGTCTAATTCAGCGGTAACCGGTGTTTCACGCTCACGGTCTGCTCGTTGAAGAATAGAAGGTATGATAACTTTGCCATCATGATCAATTTCACGTGCTGTTAGCTGCAGTATTCCATGCCGTAGATTTATATCTACTATAAAGCCTTGATAGTCAGAATCTAAGCGCTTCCACCTCCACCCGAGGCTGGCCGAAGTGGGGGTAGGGTGGCACTCCCAGTAATCCCTCTTTTCTTGGATGAAGACTGAGGACTCGCCGCACTGAACTGGCGTAGGGAGTACATCTCTGCCCACACTTGAGTCACCGTCGCATGCATATGGAGCCGTGACATTATACTAGACGCTCGATGTGCATCATTTTCTTGCAACAGCGTCTCCAGCTGCTCTAAACAAAGTCGAACATGTCTGTTTTCGTAATGTGCCATCTTCTTGAGAGATACGACCTTGCAAGGTCTGTCACATTTGTCGCCCGTGATCCCGTTAGCTGAAGAGCGTGAACATGATAAGTTCAAAACATCGATTGAATTTAAAACACCCTCAGCTTTATCTCTCTCAATGCTGCCATAGTCATTCCAGAGCCGGACCTCATCAGCAGCATGCCTGCAGAAATCCTCAACGATGTATTGTTCTTCTGGGGTCCGGAACACATCATCATCTTGCTGCACTTGACTCAATGCCATGTGGAAAACCATATATTTGAGGATGACAGGGTAGAGTACATTGTCTGAGGCAGGCCCTCGTAGCCATGAAAAGAAGGTTGTCTTTCCGGTTTGGTCATGGAGGAGGTCCACTCCCTCATGTACTAGACCCTTGGAACTTCTAATATGGCCAATCTGGGCGAGTAAGGCAGATCTCAGCTCACTGCGCAGGTTCCACTTGTTGTAAGTGCTCACGGGGTCGGTGGTATCGGTGAGCACAAAGTTCATAAAGGACAGGAACATTGCTTTTGCCTCCTTTACTCTTGCGTGCTGTTCTCCATTGCTCTCATTGAGTTCATGGGTTGCATCAGGTCCAGTGGACAAACACCTTCCGGTATGCAATTTCTTCTGTATGAAATCCTCTAATTCATCTAGCTCTAGCGACGAGAAGTTAATCACCTGGTGGTCCACGAACGTGTCAAGCTGGTATGTCGCTACTGTGATCCGAAGTACCATCAAGAGATAGCCTGTACTCAGGAAGTATGAACCTTTGTAGTTGCTCGCCACGAAACAAGACGCACAATAGAGGAGGTATTCTTCGCTGAGTTTGGCCCGTTGTGAAAAGAAGTCAATTTCGCGTAGCTCATCGATTATCATGTAGCCCTCGCGTACGGAAGCCTCGAGTACCCAACTCGGGATGTGGGAAAATGACGGGAGGGTCCGCAGAAAGTTTCCTTGCTTCTGGATGACAGATCTTGGGTTGTTGAACAGACCGCCCAATGTCTCACTGGCTTGGATATTGGGCATCGGCGCTAGCGTCGCGGAGATGATATAAGACCTTGAAACTGTTTCAATGCTATAAAGGGTTTTGTCAATCCAGAGCCGTTCTCTGATTGAAATGTAACCACGACTGTATGTGTATCGTAGGTACGACTCTGCTTGTTCAATGGCAGTTAAGGATGCATCTCACAGCTCACCTCTGAAAGGTAGTGTCAGGAGTCTCTTTATGGCCAATGTTGCATACGACGTCTCTTCAAGGCTGGATCGCGGTCCCCAGGATCCGTCAGCATTCTGGGTTCGGAGGAGCTTAGTCAACGCTTGGTGAACAACCAGCGGAACTCGGGCATCAAGGCCAGTGCTGCTGGATGTAGCAAAAGCGTCGCTGTCCCATTTGTGTATATAGTCCACTATTCCTTCACATGTTAACATAACGGGATAGTAGGGAGATATGTTCTATGAACAGTGTTAACATCTGTTCTCTCGAGCCCAACATCTGGTGGTAAAGCCAATTTCTTACCCATTTATCTTGAAGAAAGCCATCCGACTCCCACCACGCATGACACAAGAACCGAACACACTTCTCTATCTGGAAAATGTATCTGCTATTATTTTCCATGTGAAGGAGGGCCATTAGGACATGAGCGTTAGTGCTGATGCTTGGGTTTCGCTCGATTCCAAAGGTCAGAAAATGATCGTGTGATTCGAATTTGCTGATTAAAGAATCTGGACATGCTGGGAATCCCAACAGTCTCAGGAGCAATAATGCTTTCGCGGTGTCATCGGCGTCCACGCACATTCCCGGTGCTAGAAGAGTTCCCAGTCAGCGTCATTCTATTGTCTGTCGTCAATCTACCCCTTGAACATAGACATTACCAAATCCGACTACCTCATCCTGTGCTTTTAACATGTTATTTACTTTGAGTCCAATATTATTCACCAATGGCTCTGTTTCCTTGCCAAGAGGGACATTGTTTTTCAAAAGAGTGACGACTATCTGCTCGCGCGGAAATCGACATCAGTATTCGACAAGCCAGTAGTTCATCATGCAGGGATAGCTGAAGAAGAAAGGAATGTGGAAGATGACTGGGAACAGAGAGATGAGAGAGGAAGGGATTTACGAACCCATGAGGATTCAAACGCAGTCGTCGGATATGTTGAAGGCACGCCGCCATTTTGACCCGCATGCGGAGAATTGAGCGCACGGCGGATATATGCCTCTGCATCTGCATCCCAATTCTCGCTGTGAATGAGATACGCGGCCGTTGCTGACGGAGAGCCCATCATGCTGCCACATGTTTTGAGCATAGAGACCCGGTTAAAGTCTGCGTACCCAATAAGCCCCTCCAGGGAGTGTGCAACGGAAGTAAATCCCTTTTTATAAAGGCTTTCTATCGGGAATCGGGAAATCCTCTTGTCCCGAGCTGGCAAAATCCAAGCGAGCACGGCTGCATTGTCGAGATGGATGCCTTCTTCCTCAATAAGCTCCAACATTTTTGGTAGCCACAGTTCAGCGCCGATCGGAAGCTCATATGCGACTGCAGCTGGTAATTTAGGAAGAGCTTGACGCAGAAAATGTGTAGCCCTAGATATTTTCTTGTCCAATGCTTGACGACTCGTGTGATCCTTCTCTTCGTTCAGGTGTTTTTTGAGCGCCAGGAGACCAGCAAGTGTACAGGCAATACGGTCAAAAAGTACCGCATCTGCATCCCATCCGCCATCCTCACACTGGGCTTCTGATAGAAACTTGAAACATTCAATGAAAGTCCAAACCGTCTCACGACCTGTCACCGGTTTCTTTACCATTGACACCCAAGCGGTATCGTAGATGCTACCTGACACTGCACCAATTCCATAATCAGGATGCTGGTCTTTCCCCAAATATTGTAAAAGAGTAGTAGCCTCTTGGTGGTAGGACACTTGGACCTGCTGCTCCGACTTTTGAGGTATCTTTGGTCGCATGGAATGCATAATGGGAACCCAGAAGATCAGTCCTGTCAGTAAGCTTTCTGACCTTTGATAGTAGCAGCCGAATGTCAATACTTGGGTCGAATGGGCGCGCCTGTAGGAATTGACTAAGATGCGACGAGGGTCGTTGGACATGGCTTATATGTTGTTTATGTCACTCCGGCCATATTCCCAAACAGTGTAGTGCATGTTCATCATGCCTCATTTGATCGGATACATGTCGGAAACAGGAAACCAAATAAAATACATGAATTCTAACGCACAGGTAAGGAGCGCGGGATGCAGAACGCCGTGTTATCTCTCCTACCCGTTTGAGTGGGTTGCAGTTCGGTAATCCGGTTTCCTGCAATGTTCAATGAACCGTTCAGGTTACCAACATACTTATTGAACCGTTCTGCTCACTTGCAGGATTGAACGGCTTGATTCTTTCAAGTACAACCCATTAGTCTACCACGTACATAGCTTTTGCCCAGACCGCCAGGGCATCCGCCAGTTTGACTGGTTAGTAACGTAGTCCCGCGGGTCCCTATAGCAGTAGCTGCCATGAAAACAATTTGGGTAACCTGATGATGTATATGACTGGATTGTCAGCATTAGTATTTCCAAATCATGATCTGCAACATTAGATACCTTCTATAGACTGTTGGTCATCCTCGTACTACTGTTGATGAAACCAAAAATTTCTTTGCCTTCCTTGCCTTCCCTTCTTTTTTGTAGTCTCCCCTGCTTTGCTTCCCGTTCCGTCGAATGTCGTACCATTTGTTTTCGTCCATGACTACTATCCCATTGCCTGTACCTTAGTTGCTCGACAACTAAACGCGAGAGAACCAGTTTAGAGCACAAATTATCACTGCAACAGCTACCTGTGTCTGGAGGCGTGTCTGGAATGCTTACACAATGAGTCATAATCTAGGACCATTGCCAGCCATATAATCAAAAAGGGGGGCGGCCACAGTATACAAGATTTCTGGTGTATGAAGCAACCCTGAAGGTGTTCAATGATGATTTTCTCTGACAAACCCACAATGTGAATAGTATGGGGCATTGAACAATCTTCTTGTGTGTACTCCTGCCTGAGGCATTAACGAGTAAACCAGGCATCATGTTTTTGACAATAAGTGATACATAGCTAGCTCCACATTACTTACTATTTGACTTGGCTCTTAACTCTATGACTATGGAGCTGATGTAGTAACCCTCAAGCTAGTCATATTCCTTTACAAACAACTTTTGGTCCACAGCGAGCAGGTGGTGGGGGATACTGCCGCTCTTCTCCGTCTTAGATATAACCTAAGTACACCTAATAGGGTCGTGCTCAACGATATCATCAATATCATCTCCCCATATAAGCTGACTGCGTAATACTTTCAGCGGAATATGGACTTTGCTATATTACGCTAAGGACCGTTGACTATAGTACTCGGCTATCATCTTCCAATTCGGTGTTTTGAAACATTTCATGGTCCTTGTAGTCTCTTGAGTCGCACATATATATATCTGTGATGTGCGTGATTTTTACCTCCGAGTAGTATCATTACCCCCGGTGATGAGCCTGAGATTAGGATCGTATATTGATGGACAACAGTTTCAATACGAAGAGAGATTCATCAGCAACTTTAGAAGTTGTAAGAACGTCTGTATTGTTCGATACTTTGCTGGCAGTAAACAGCAGGACATTGACATTTGGGCAGGGGCTAGCGTGCGTCTAATACCACACTCCGCCTACACTTGGAAGGTCAGGCGTGCTCACAGCCTCACCGCCTGCTACTTTGATCCAGCTTCCAGTGAGACAGAAACCTTATAACTCAGGCGAAGAAGCTTCTTGATCCGGAAGGCAGCAAGATTTATATCTGTACCAAAAGCTCGCCTTACCTTATCGGGAGTGAGCCTTGCCCACTGAGGTAAGCGGCAGGGTGTTGTGGCATTAGCGGAAGGGAGCGTCTCCCTATATTTGCCTGATGGTGACGAAGAGCCTGCCTATGCTACTACAACTTGTCATTAAGCCCCAAAATTATCCGTTAATTATGTGTGCACTAGGATGATGTTGTATTGACGATCATATAGCGTGTCACAACTGATCGGCTTTCTGGAACAGCAACGGGCGCAGGCGCGACCCAGGTGATGATACTTTCAGATCAGCAGCTTCAACGTTGTCCTCCTCGAGCAGGTATTGATAGACCTCCCATGCCTGTACTTGCACTCGCCTAGACGAGGCAAGAACTATTCCATCTGCAGCAATAGCTTCTGCGCGAATACTACGCAGTGCAAAGGGTACATGATGGACTGTCTCAAATCCCCGCCGTGCCACATTTGTCTCGAGTTCTCCGTTCCGAACATCCTCGTTCCATCCATCCGGTAAGCTGTCACTGGTATCCACTTGCAATTGGAGCCGCCAATTGACCGTCTCGGTATCCCCATTCCATGATAAGTATATATCGGTTCCACCGCTGCCCCAATGGGTCTCATGTCGCTGAAAGGCTACCACAGCGGGCTCTTCACTGGAAAGGCCTGTCCAGTTTGCCCGAAAGGCCCGGTAGTTCTGCACGTCGCCGCGACTGAGCGGTCGGGAGTCCAGATATGCGTGGTAGAGTGGTTCTCCATCGGAAGAAAATTCGGTTATCGCTCCCTCTGAGCCCCAATTTATGAAAACATTCCCATTGGGAAGGGTTTGCAATGAGCCTTGTGATCTCACCAGCAGTAGATCAGGAGGAATAAACGAGGACTCGAGGGAAGCATAGCGAGTCGGATGATCCAGTCTGAGGATTTTGCCGCGGGAGTAGGGATAAATCCGGACCTCCTTGTCACCGCCACCGCCACTTTCAGAGCCATATACGGCGTTGTCAAATAGCGTTATCCTTGTCACGTCGCTATTGTCGACCTGATCAAGGTATCGGGCATGATGCTGGAAGCCAAACTCTACGTTAGGGCCCAGGGCGAAATCGGATCGCGACCCTCCTAGTCGCCAGATGATGCTGCCATCTGTGCTGTTAATCTTGTAAATGGTGCTGGCATGACGCGCGGACACAAGGTAGTGACCGTCGGTGCCCTTGGTCACCGAATTGATGTGAAAATAGTCCCAGGCAGTAGAGCTATTGTGGCCAATCCCCGCTTGATCGTTGGGAAGCGGGAGAGCAGATTCTGGGATACGCATAGGCGTTAATATCTACACAAATCTTTCCCTCCCTGATGTAGAGTACTCCACTGTGATAAGCCAAAGAGGTGGGGGCCAACGTACCCTCCGGGCCAATATGATCCAGACTTCTCCATTCGAACAACACTTTGCCGTCATTGATATTCAATTCTGTGTGACCTGATAAGCCTTATCGTGTTCCATAAGACATTACGAACTATCCTGAGATAGAGCTAACCTTGAAATATTGCGTTAACAATCCAATGTTGCCGCCGGTCGGATGTGTAATTGCTCAGATCTCGCACCTCCGGGTGATGGACCTGGATCAAAGCCGTCGATTCGTTCAAGATCTCGAACTCATGTTTATCGGAGAGCAGATGGTTACCCGCGCGGAGTTCTTTGATCGTCTCATACCGTTGATTCAGGAGCACATGGTGACCATGACCATGGCCATAGAGTCCATTGTGCGCACCTTCGAATGCGGCTAGAACATCCTGACCATTCCACCGCGCGGCTTGAAAGTTCCCTGTCCAGGTCGAGAAGTAGGTGTACCCGGACCAGACGAGCTCACCATCGTCACTGAATATATACGCACCAGGCTGCTGTGGTGCTCGATGTGCCGGCTCGGAAACGGCATTGAACGGGGCGATGAAAATGTATCCTCGTTCTAGCCCGTTGTTTGGAGGAATGGTGATATTGAGACGGGGTGGGGAGAGATCAGGTCTTGATTTATACCTATTATTGGCGATGGCCACATGGCTAAACAGTATGTAATTCAGGCATAGCCATGGAAAGCGCATGATAATAGGTAACAACATGGTTTAACACTACTTATCCAAAGAACACTTGGAGGCGACCGTGACTCTGAACTTAAGTAGTGCCACACAGGAATCAGCTAACCCAATCACCTCATCCGCCCTAAGATGAGGCGGCATACCAAGGAAAGTGATCGTCAACTGGTATTACATTTACCGCATCCCCGAGAATATTACTGCATCCTATACCGTGTGACTTTCAGCAACTGAATAACTTGAAAGGTCTAGTATGAGGAAGAAAGTCGGAGCTTCATTGAAGAACTAGTACTCCTACTCCGCATTCTAATATGTCCCCGCCACAAAATAATGCATTGAAAGACTTTGAAGCTTACTGAGAATGTAGAACTCCCCATTTTACTATGCACTCATCTATGGCTGGTTTATGTAACACTCGCAGAAATAAGGGAAGGAATATTGATCGATCGGCTGGAAGGGGCCTTTGACCGCCACGACATCCAAATTCATTGAGCACATCAGCGAATTTTCAATCTCTCAAGTGTGGCTCGAAGTGTACAGAGCCCGGAATCTGGTCTCTTCCGATAGCAATGATTCAGGCCTGTCAAATTCCATTAGTTCCCCATCTTCGAAGAACGCAACCTTATCGAAGGCGGATATGTTCTCGTATCGGTGCACGATTGAAAGAACGGTGCAATGATTGAAATGACTAGCAACAATGCGTTCCATGAGCGATTGGGTAGAAAGATCGACTCTAGAGACAGTAGTTAATTTCTGTACGCATTTCTCGGAGAAGGCCCCTAAGGGAAAAAAATAAAAAATAAAGAAAATAAAAAAGAAAATCCAATATTGGAAAGGATTATGGGCAACACACCGACTCATGGCTTCATCAAGGATTAGAACCACGCTCTTCCTCGCCATACTGCGCGCAAGTGCCAGCAACTGCCCTTGCCCGGCCGACCATAATTCCGGCTTTAGATCAGCGTCCAGTCCGCCCATCTTCTGAACAATAGCAGACAAATGGGTGGCTTCGAGGACGCCTTCCAGGGCGGATTCCGACAGTGTCTCATCAGGATCGATATTCAGCCGGATGGTTCCGGGCAGAAAGCACGGATCTTGGGGCACGACGCTCAGATGCTTGAGGATATCCTGTGAAGAGACATTGATGATGTCGACCCCGTCAATTCGAACGGCGCCGCTTTGTATGGGAAGCAATCCACCAAGACAGAGCACAAGGGATGACTTGCCACTTCCCGAGCGTCCGCAGATGGCGACCTTATCCCCTGGCTCGATGCGCATTGAGACTGATTTCAGAACGGGATGAGATCTGTTATCTACGGGTCAGGCATCCATGCTTGCGGGCTATCGGCAGGCCACACATCGGATTGAGCGATATGCGTGAAGGCAGGTTAAGTGATTACATACCTGTAAGCTGCGACAACCTTATCGAATTCGATTTCACCATGACTAGGCCATGATACCTTTTCATTTAGGGACAACAATGAGTTAGCATCGAAACGTTTACTCTGCTCTTCCGACGGCACGGTCTCCCCGAAGCTTTTAATCCGGGAGACCGCCCCAAGGCATGATTCGGTCAGCGACCAAAATTTTAGCAAGCGTGCTAAAGACTGGGTAAAGCTCATGAGGGTCACAATTGCTGTTCCAGATGAGCCTGAATTGAACGAATCCCTGGTAAAGACGATGAGGATCATGAGAAGAACCACCAGTCCACTCGCCAACAGATCCATAGCGAGGGTCAACCACTGTTGGATCATGAACAAGGTATAGACACATTTCTGTGAGTCATCCACAAGCAAGAGGTTGTTACTCTCAAACCATCGTTGTCGGCGAAATGCACGGATGGTAGATACACCGCTCAATGTCTCAGAAAGATGTTGATACAATGGAGCTTTGGTCTCGATGCTGAGAAGGCGTATTTGTCGAGATGTCCGGAGGTAGTACCGTTGAAGGAAGTAGCATACTAACAGAAGAGGTGGAACTGTGAGGGACATGTACTTCGCTACGACGAACAGTATGATCATCTTCAGCAAACAAGCCCCGAGCGCTTCGGCACTTGTAGTGTTAACATATGAGCGGTTTCAGATACTTCGAAAGATAAAATTATTATAAGCACACCAACATACCTTTTGTTGTGTTAATGGCGGCAAGCGGTAAGGTCATGTCGGTAAGTTCCAAGTCCTGGTTGAAACTAGAAGTGCAAGCGTTTGATCAGTGGCTGCGATTCTTTGGGGCTTCTCAGCGAGACTTACCGATTCAGAATGTCGCCTGAATTAGCCTCGCTAAGCCAGAAGAGCGGTGCACTAGCCATTCGTCAGCGAAGGGCGCAAGAATTACAGAGGTGTGCCGTACCGCAAAAGAGCGCTTAGCATGGATAGATGTAGACGTTCTGCAGTGTTGGATATCATACGAAGAAGATAAATCCTGTAGCCGGTTATTGTCATGTAGTACGTAGCATGTGCATGGGCTGGGGGTATACCATGAGCTGGCAGCGCCAATAATTACAGCACCTAGCCCAAGGGCAATAAAAACGCCCAAGTACATCCAATGTGGCCTGTTTGGGCTTTCAGTACTGGCCTCTGACCACCACTTGAGCCAAAGTGCTGGGACCACTCGATCAGCTTTGGTTCAGGTACTACGTCGTTTTGGGAGTTAGGGACTGATCTCACTTGGAAAATTTTGGCAGAACGCAAAGACAAGAACAAGTACTATGTAAAGAACTGAAAGCCTCAACCCTGCGGACTTTAGGTAATATAGATAAACAGAGCGATCTTTGACCGGCTGCGAGATCCCCTGTTTTGTATCCAGTATGTCATCATTGGAGGAGATGTCAGCGTCGAAAGATTGAGAAGGCTGCTGTTCTGGTGAGGCCAGTTGTTCGTAGTTGTGGTCGTCAGGAAACGAAATTTGATGACCAGAAGAGGGTGTCGAAGGGGGAGACGGCTTGTATGTCACGACTGTACCCTCTTTCAAAAGATGAATCTCATCGGCAAAGGCCGCTACTTTGGCTATATAGGAGAGTCAGCCTAGTTAGCAAATCAAAGGCCGTTGAGTACAGGAACAAACCATTATGTGTCGATAGGATAACAGTAATGCCTCTGGAATGCAGGTAACCCGTATGCCTGTCCAGTAGCCTTTCACAAATACTATTTATATTGGCCCCATCAAGTCCGCTGAAGATATCGTCAAGGACTATCATCTTACAGCCGGAATAAAGGGCACGAGCAAGGGCCTAGAACAATATATTGCTGTTATTGGAAGAGAACACCTGAATCAACATACAGCAGCATCTTACCAGGCGTTGTTTCTGCCCTCCACTGAGCATGAACCCCTGTCCTCCGATTCTGGTAAAGTCTCGTTCTGGCAGAGCTTGAACCTCCTCGGTCAAACAGCACAGCCAGAGTACGTGACGGTACCAGTCCGGTTGAAAGTCGAGCGGGCCAACGATGTTACCCCGGATACTGGTATCCACCAGCCAGGGGGTCTGGGCGCAGTATGCAATGGGCATAGAGGCTATTGATACGCGGCCACTACTTACGGCGGTCTCACCTAGCACAGTCTCCAGTAGCATCGTTTTTCCGGAGCCTATTGGGCCCATGATCGCGGCGAAGGAGCCTCTTGGCACGCTCAAGTTTACACGGCAGAGCACATCACATTCCGCAGGTTCCCACCTTATAAAAGCATCTCTGCATTCCACAATGGTTTCCTCATTTGGATCCAATAAACCGCTACTATCACTGTCAAGTAGGGTCTTCGATGCATTGTGTAGGGCGATATAGTCTTGAATTCGACTGAAAGAGCCGAGACACTGAACGATGGCAGGTAACGTTTGTATGAAGGTCCAGACTGGCATCGTAATGAGTGTCATTAAGGACAATGCTGTGAATGCCTGAGAGGGATTCAAAGAGTAAATCTTTGTTGTGAATGAAATTATCGTGAATAATGTGAACGAGGCTGCCGGAGCAGCAAGCCACGGGAAGCTGGCTGTGGAGAACATGTCAGCAGAGCGCTGTTGCAATCAAACCAAACGTGCGAAGGTTATTGAGAAGCCGATGACTAGAGATGAATTGTTGTCTGCAGCAGTGGAAGGACACTTACAGATAAGAACTTCCCAAAATATCAGTATGCGAAATTTACGCGAAGTGGCGATCTCGGTAGAACGAAATCCAGCGATAACTGCCTCGACTCGTTTACAAAGACCAAGCATTTTGAATGATTTTATGCTGCTTAATGCTTGCCTGGTAGCATGCATTCTGAGCTCGACCTTCGTAACCCATGCACGCTGGGCCCTATTCTTGGACTTTGAGACTTTGGTTATTATCGATATACATCCTGGTATGCGTCAGAGGCAAAGCTAATAAAGCACTGTATTGGAGATACATACCCAGGGAGAGGATGACGGGCATGATACATGACACCGCAAGCTGGCGTTCTAATAGCCACAGTGCCAGCCCAATGTCAATAGGGGATGCCCATATCTCGTGTATGTCACGTAAGCTAGTTGAAATACGCTCCACGTCTGTCCCAATTAGTGTGATAGCCGTGTCAGTGCCCATATTGCCGGATCGTCGGGTGAGAGTCTGCGCATAGACTGCCGCAAGAAGACCGCCACGAATACTAATAATGAACTGATACGTCTGTCGACTATAGAACGCCGTGGATACCTAAGACACGTTAGGATTGGAATATGAATCGTGCGAAGCAACAGTTATATCCATCGTCCACTCACAGCAAGACCAATATATACAATCCCTGAAGCTGCTATCAACCCATACCCCTTGTTTCTTGTCTCTTGATCTTCTGGAAGTGCTGCGTATGTGGTAATTTCACTGACCAAAAGGGGCTGCATAATGGTAAATGCCGAAACGCAAAGTCGAGGGATAACTGCACTGAAAAAGGCCATCTTGTACGTCCGTAAGAGTGTGATTGGCAATTGATTTCCTTTAGATTGATCGGCTACTAAACAGCATCATGAGCTTTGATGTTCATAGCGATTGCAGGGGCCATGTAGGACTCAGCGTATAAGCATACCTCTCTCCCAAGACCTCTGTAACTGCTTCTTTAGCCGCAAGCTCGTTAACTCCAAGGCGACATTGGGGACATCTGGTAAGCCTAAGGGACGGGTAAACCCTTTCTGCAACACCGGAAGAACCCATGTTAACAGTCCCAAACCCCAAAGACCACTTGTCTCCTCGAGGGTTGTCTGTCGATGTCTTGATGCTACCAGTGAGTTGTTCTTTGTTAAGGATTCTGAGATAAGCAAAATAACGTGAGCGGCTAGCACAGTACTGCATAGGGCTGTTACGGTCGACGAGTTAGATGCCAACCAAAACGAACGGATAGAAACACCATCAAATAGCACCACCAGAAAAAGATAGATGTTGATTAGAAGTGGTGGCCGCTGTGTCCGATTATACTCCAAGTATGATAGACACAGTGCTACACAAGTTCCAGAAATTCGCAATAACTGGGCAGCCAAGCTTGCCGAGGTCTTGAGAACGGCTATTCGTTGACGGAACACGAGCAGTGCAACCTCGAGTGCAAATAGAGTGAGATACAATGTCTGCATCTTGTTAGCAAGGGAGCCTATATCCAAGGTCGCCATTGCGCGACTAACCGAATTGTATACAACTCTATACGTCCTGATAATTATAATCGGTTTCCGGTACAAATGAAACGCCCGGATGATGCCTAAGATAAGAAAGATGGAACAAGGAACACAAACTAGAAAGACATCCTCGAAAAGCAAGGTAAAATCGAATGATCGGCATTGGGTTGCTACCACGGGGCCGAAGGAGGCATCGCTAGCCTGGCAAACGCTTTGAATTCCCATAGCGACAACTGCTAGAAAGGGATTATTAGGTATGCAGGATGGGGTTACAGTAAATAGTCACAGGCCCCAGGTGTTGACCATGTTCCGACTTCGGCGCTCAATACTTGCCGGTCAAGTGAGGCGATGATGCTCATCAGGCTATCTCAGCCTTGCCTCAAGTACGAGATTACGCAGATCTTCGACCCGGAAAAGGTAACTGCTCGTGTGCCCCAACGCCTTACTCTTCAGATCAATGGACTGACTATCGCGCAATCATCCTTCAGGGTTTGCAACAGACTACGCCCGTGTGCGCGGGAGGGCCCGCGGGCGGAGGGGCACGATCCCAGCCAATCATGCTGTAAATATGATACTTGAGTCGCGGCTTATATGGGGGCCATTTTTCGGCGACACCGATCTAGAACCCGCATGAGGGTATTATCCAACATAAGCATCTGCTGCTGCAGGTCTAAATCCCATGCCAGCAACAAAGGAGAAGCGTGGATGGGAAATAACGCCATTAGAATAAGCGATCTCGTCATGTTCCTGAGGATTGCCGATCAGTCGAGTCAGACGGCTGGACCCCTGCTTTCCGCTGAGCGATAGACAGGAGCTTGAGCTCGCAAGTACGGAATTGTGGAACTACTTAAGAACAATGAGTGTCACTTGAATTGTTGCTATCCAGCGCCCACCCATCTTTTCATCATCGATTGTGACGAAGTATCAGGATAAAATTATGCCTCATTCAGAAGCCTCTCGGAAGCGAATGGAAACCAGTGCCAACGTGACGAGCGGCGCTCATGGAGTACGTATATCCTGTATGTTTGTTTCAGAGAGCATACTAATCGCAAATCCAGAAGCAAACTCAGATCAGGGTCCTAGTTGCCTGCCCTCGTTCGGGTTCCACACTCTTCATGCGAATCTTTCGCGAACTCCCGCGCTGTGCAGTTACGAGTCGCTTGATTCTGCAAGGAAACTATCACAAATTCAGCGACCAGACTCTAGCTCGAATCAAGCCAGACTATACTATTTTCTCTCATCCGGAAGCCCACCCGGTCTATCAAAAAGCGGTGTCGGAAGGCTTTACCACACTAGTCACCAAAGAGGAGTTGGGTCACGAATTCTTCAAGGGCGAATGTGACTTCAACGTACTTCCCAATCGAGACGCCTACGAGAAAACGCAGCCCGCGTTTCTGGTCCGGGATCCTGTCCGAGTGTTTGATAGTTGGAAAAATATGGGCTGGGGTGATCTATACAGCTTCTTCATTTGTTATCGGTCACTCTTCAAAATGCTCACGGCCAGCCCAACACCTCAAGTTGTCCTGTATGAGCAATTGGTGGCCAATCCCAGGGACACAGTAACCACACTGGCAAAGTACTGGGGCATTGAATACGATGATGGCTGTTTGGAGTTTAGGCAACCTTTTGGGGATTATCTATTCAATGGTTACCGAGAGCAATCGATCTATCAGGGTGCCGTTCCTGACCGCCTCTTCAATCGCGTCAAGTCTCACACCCACGTCGAGGACTTCCACGGCCACGGGCTGCTATCCGCACTTGAAATCGAACATATCGAAGCCGAATTAGGTGGCCTGTACCTGGAGGCCTATGGCCCCCAGCTAAATCCCATATCGAATGTTCTCTCCGGAAAGACATGGTTTGGCTTCGATCTCGACGATACTCTGCACGAGTTTCGCAAAGCGTCTGCTCATGCCTCCCATGCTGTCTTCGCCGCAATTCGAGCCAACCATCCCGAGGCCAACAACACAATCGATGATCTCCAGACCACCTATCGTGACATCCTTCGTTCAAACACTGCAAATGCGTTCACAGATGGAAAATCATCCGAGGATTATCGCAGCGACAGATTTAGACGTCTTCTCGAAGCCCATGGGCATGCGCCTTCTCTGGTAGAAGTGGAAGAGCTGTTGGCAGTATACAAGAGCAGTCTCCGTGCCGCCCTGACCCTGAAGGCTGGGGCACTTCGTCTCCTAGAGAAGCTCAAGGCTCATGGTAAGAAGATAGTTATCGTCACCGAGGGACCACAAGATGCACAAGAATGGACGGTGTCGGAGCTTGGGTTACAGCCATTCATCGATATCCTGGTCACTACCAATGAGGTCGGAGTGTCCAAGGTAGATGGTCTGTTTTCCGCGGTCCTAGAAAAGCACAGCATTGTCTCAACTGATATGGTATACGTGGGGGATAGCGAACAGCGCGACATTGAACCAGCGCGGGCTGCCGGGATAGACACTGTGCTGTATGATGAGAAGAGCAACTGCCGGCTTCAGGACCCTCACGACCTGCGGCTAAACTCGCTCCCAAAACTGGAGTATCTGATGGCCCGTCCTTGGGCCGCCTGAGCTGTGGTCTCTGAGTAATCTGCATTAACAAAGTGATTCTTTCATGTTAATAGAGTACTTGAGTCGACAACATCTTTGTATATGTTGGGAGTGCCGACTGTAAAATGTGTGCATCTTGGATTTCAATTGTTTTTCCGGATAAAACTGAGGCGACAGCTGTGGGTGGTTTCACTCACTAGCTATCTGCTCTTCGTACTAAATATAGCCAATTCAGGTAAGAAGCATCAAGGGTTGAAAAAAAGAAAAAAAATAGAATAGGAATTTGAGCGAGGTAAGGAAATGTTTGCCAACAATTGACTTATAGAGTATTTATTAGAATAATGGTTGAGGCTGTACTTTGAGAGGCTATTTGAGGAGCAAGTAGCAGGTGTTTCTGTGGGTAAAGGAATAAAGATGGTAAAGATTTTCGACTCGAAGAGGCGCACTCTTATCAGCGTCCCAAGTACCATGTATCCTCCGATTCCAACCAACAATTAATCATGATTTTGAAGAATGTCAATTAGCTACCACCAGCCTTCACTCGTGCAATTCCCTCCGCCTACCTTACAAGGTAAAGTCCTTCCCTATACGGTAAGGCTCGCTTTCCGTACTCACCGCCTGCTTCATACGATTCCTTACTGTCTGGGAAGTTGAATTGCTGCCTTGGGCGCATGAGATCATGAATGGCGGGCGGTATAAGTATGACGCTTTAAAAAGCAAGCCTTGCCTTATGGATGTGGCAGTAGCGTCTCCCTCAGAATATTTAGACTTGAAGTAGACTGAAGCCCCACCATCGATTAAGTTGTATGGACAAACCCCAGTAGACTAAGATAGCGATGTATTTTGATATCATTATGTTTCTGATTAAAACTATGGATTTTTGGGTCACAATAAAATGCTGTCTTCATATATATCAATTATTTCCTTTCGTCTATACCATGGCTAGATACGTAAAATATATCATATCTAAGTGCTATTCTGAGAAGTACTACGGATATTTGTTTTGATCTGACCTGGCCCGGCAATTGGCCATTTTAATGTTTTATCAAGCTTTGCATCTTAATGTTTCATTTGTCCGTGGTGTAAGGGTGGTATCATAATTTATATCCAATTGCTCTTTGATTGAGGCATTTTATCTGATTGCGGGATTCTTCATAATCCTGGTCTAACTTGCTGATGCAACTAGTACCGAGATAGCTGACCACGATGTAGGAGATCAAGATTCGAGATGATTGAGAGCTATTAGTGGGCCGAAAGTGGCTGATCTGCAAGACGATCCAGAAAGAAGGCCTTTCAGCGGCTTCAGACAAGGCAACCTTTAGCGCGAAGTGTAAAGTAAATTCCGATATGACCACATACAGGCAAGAACTGCCACCGGTGGTGGTTGATTATAATTTTTCATCCTGATCATATGAGGTGGCACGGGCTATTTCCTTGGAAGTGAGGGGTTTATGTGCGGGGCATGCATACTACGGAGCTCCAGGTTCGGAGGGGGGACCAGATCTCACTGGTTGAAGGTCATATCCGCATGCAGGCCTTTATAGGGAGGGACACTTAACTCCGTATGAGTACTGTATATTTTGCAGAAGTTCATATGCAAGCTCCGCGGCCTCCAAGCACAGGTGTGGGTGCTTGGGCCTCAAGTGCCTGCCTCAAAGGGGGTTCTGGGTGTTTCTTGCCAGGCACGTAAGTACCCTTCAAAACCTATAAAGGCCTTCATCAATATTCCAATGCATAAATGCTCCAACATTC